ATAAAGGTGGATTACTCAGAGTGGGTGGACGATTAAATAATGCCCTTTTGAGTTTTGATCAAAAACATCCAATTATTTTACCTAAGGCACATTATATTACTCAATTAGTAATAAGACATTATCATGAGAGACTATTACATGCGGGTGTACAATTAACTCTATCCGCCATCAGAGAAAAATATTGGATACCATCTGGACGATGTCTAGTAAAACAAATTCTGTTTAAATGCATCAAATGCGCAAGATTTAGAACAAAGGCAGTACAACAACTGATTGGCAATTTGCCGACATCACGGACCAATTGGACAAGACCATTCATAAAAACAGGAATTGATTTTGCTGGACCAGTGATTGTGAAAACATCTAATTTGAGAAATGCAAGATGTGATAAGGCTTATATTGCATTATTTATCTGCATGTTCTCTAAAGCCATACACATAGAACTCGTTACCAACTTAACAACAGAAGCCTTCCTGGCTGCTCTTCGGAGATTTATTGGCCGTAGAGGTCGACCGGCAGAAATAAACACTGATAATGCAACTAATTTTGTCGGAGCTTACAAGGACTTAAGAAAGTTATTCAATTCAAACATTCATGACTTTGCTTCTTCAGAAGAGATCAAATGGAACTTTATACCTCCATCCTCACCTCATTTCGGAGGACTATGGGAGGCAGGAATAAAATCTGTAAAGTATCATCTACGTAGAATCGTGGGTAAAACTAAATTAACATTTGAAGAATTAACAACTGTGCTAACCCAAATAGAGGCATGTCTAAATTCAAGACCATTGTGCCCTCTAACTGATGATCCTGAGGACTTGAATGCGTTGACGGCAGGACATTTCCTCATTGGAATGCCATTGACTGCAGTCCCATCCCTAGTTAGAGAAGGCGGTTCCAGTCTTAAAGGAAGATGGCTATTGGTTGAACAGATCAAGACAGACTTTTGGAAAAGATGGTCATGTGAGTATTTTTCCAGACTACAGAACAGACCAAAATGGTTGAAACCCGTGGACAACATCAAGATTGGAACATTGGTTTTGTTAAAAGAGGACAACCTTCCTCCTCTCAAATGGAGAATGGGTGGATCAATCAGGTGTATCCAGGAGAAGATGGGTTGGTACGCGTGGTTTCAGTCAAGACGGCGGATGGAGACCTCAGAAGAGCTGTGGCCAAAGTTTGTCCTCTTCCACTTGACTGTCCTACTAGCTAGACGTGAATCTTGGTTTGCTGATTTTTCTTTTCTGTCTACTCCTGTCATTATCAAAATGTTGATATTGTAATATCAAAGGGGGGGAGGATATTTAAAATTATATATTGATTTTGTAATTATTATTATTTTCTTAAATTCATAGAGGCATTTTCTAGCATGTATATTCAATCTTTTATCATCATCACTTTAATTTTGTTTACATTGTTATTATTATAGATGGTTAGCAAATAGGTTTCATGTAGTAGATTTCTTTCTTTGCTTTGTTCCCTTTTGTAAGCAATAAATTAAATTGGAATAAAGCGTCCTATTCAACTCAATTCAAATCAAAGGAAACATCATCGATTCATTTTGCAACCAGTGAAAACTACATAAGCCTATTCAACTACACATCTTCATACACCATCTTCAGACAAAAGTTCTGAATCAGATGGTAGCAACGCTGTTACCGAAACGTCACAGACTATTTATTTATTTGGATTTGGTCTTATTACCTTGTGTCTATAATCTATAATCCAAATTGTGCCTTATCATCAACGAGAATAGTTGATATTTATTCCGATAGATGGCGCAAGCCATCAACAACTTTCAGTTGCACGATAAGGAGATGACTTTTCCTTAATTTATGCACCTTATCCCAAAACAATATCATATTTGTACTATTTTTTCACATTTAGTAAAGTATAACGACGATAAAAGAGTCTTAGATTAGACAATCCTTCTCAATCATCGTTATATTTTGCTATTTCTATTCGAAGAGTTAAATTTAGCCAATAAAAACATTTAATCGGCTAAAACCCGGGTGTTGCTCGGGTCATTCGGCTAGTGTTTAATAAAGATAAAGGAAACTCCCGTGATCTGTGGCATTGTTTGATGCATCCCCATATATGACCTGACCTATTGGACCGAGGTTTGGCAGCACAAAGTGGTCGTCAAACACCTCCAAGACATAGCCGCGTGAGGCTGCCTCTGTCGGACTCCCCACAGAGAAGCGCATTCCTTGCTGCAACCAAACACCACTCGGTCAACGTACATCCCAATATCAGTACAGAAATATATTTATTTACGGGCTGCTGACAAGAATGGATGATTTTTGAGCCCCGATGGACGCATAAAGAGGAATATACACCTATCCCCCGATTTACACGGTAGATACGTTCCTGAGAAAAACGTGTAAATCGAAAATTAATTTTTTTTAAAAATTAGAAATACAGACACAGTGTGCGTGTGCAGCAAGTCAGCACATAAGCTCGGGATTCCTCGTGAGATGTGTACACAGCGCATGTGTTCAATCAGAGTAGCATTTAATATAGTGCGATAAAAAAAACTTATTTGGAAAACCGTGTAAAAGCGAAAACGTGTAAAACAAGTACCGTGTAAATCGGGGGATAGGTATATACAAATCATTGTATTGTAGCGTAGCAAATCAAGTCTTGGAATATCTGAAGATGTAAAAGTATTAATTGATGACGTCAGTACGACAAGTCGACAATTATCAACCAAACTATCTACAGCTAGAGAATATTGAACAAGCAAGCTAAGGAATATTTTCATGATGATTTTTAAAATACAGAGTAATATATGAAAAAAAAAACAATAGAAAAAAACAAAAAAGTCAGGTATTAATATTAAAAATAAATAAGGCATACCCTGACCAGGATCACATGTGCTTTTCAGAAGGCAGAGCGTCATCTGGTGGAACAGAAATCAACTAAGCATTGATTTAGCCTGTTCCCTGATATTTGGCCAACCCGATATCTTGATAAATCAAGAAAAGCCATCCACGAACGCGTTTCGCGCGAGGCTAATACCCATTTCTTGGTTTCTAAAGAAGCCACTGGGATCAAAAAATATTTATGGTCGCAGTAGTACAGCCTACTCCACGCTGACGAGCGCCAACAGCGCGAAACGCGTTCGTGGATGGTTTTTCTTGATTTATCAAGAACTTGGGTTGGCCAAATATCAGGGAACAGGTTAAATCAATACTTAGTTGATTTCTGTTCCACTAGATGGTGCTCTGCCTTCTGAAAAGCACATGTGCTCCTGGTCAGGATATGCCTTATGTATTTTTAAGAGTAATATATATTTATATAATCTATTGAAATTTTCATTCAATAATTAAATAAAATTAAATAATAAATTATTTCTTCGCCATAATATACTACATTGTATTGTTGGAGGGGCCTGGGGATGGGTGGCCAGGGGATCATCGCCAGGTGAGGCCAGGAGAGCCGGTATGTAGAGGAGGATCAGTGCCAATATCAGTACCATTACAGTGTCTAAAAGAATGCATTATCCTATTAAATGGTTAAAAATCATCATTCAATCAGCCTATATACGATAGAACCTCTCTCTATATTTAAGTTACAATTATTAATAACTAGTGTATGTAAAAAATAGTACAAATGTGATATTGTACTGGGATAAGGTGCATAAATTATGAAAAAAGGCATCTCCTTATCGTTCAACTGAAAGTTGCTGATGGCTTGCGCCATCTATCGGAATAAATATTAACTATTCTCGTTGATTTATATTTATAGATAGAGAGAATAGTTTATATTTATTCCGATAGATGGAGCAAGACATCAGCAACTAGTGTATGTGGTAATGTAGCTTATGCTTTTGGATGACTGTAATGTAGCATGTTGGTTAGAAGCAGTCATGGTGGTTGAGTGATGGGTGGTAAGGACACACAGGATCCAGAGGCCCCGTGAGGAAATAGATCGGGGAGGAAAGATAGAAGAACAACCCCTAGAACAACTGGCTTCGAGACCACCTCGGTGAGAACTGTCCCTTGATCATCACATCCAGCCGCTTTTAAACCGATTTGAATAAGATAAATCCCCTAGGGGAGAATGAAAAGTCGTGATACTTGTTTACCAAGGGGGTTGTTTTAACCCGGCTATCTTCCCTTGTACTCCCACACAGGCCATTTTATTTATATATTTCCGAATATTATGACATATATATATTATCTCTTCCCATGTACCACTGATATATTTGAGAATTTAACCTAATCAACAAGTAATACAGGGTCTGGCACATTTGTAAGTGCAAAAGTCGAACTGCTTTTCACATGTGTATACATGTGGTGCACTTACAGTAAAAGCAGTTGCCTACTTATACACACCATGATTATCATGGCTTGTACCACGTGTACTAGGGATAAGTAAAAAAAACAATAAGCTTTATATCTGTCTCTCTTAATTTCTAAGCCCCTAAAATAGTTTTGTGTAGGTATATTGATCTCAAAGTAATGAAAATAAATATTGAGCAAAATTCTTTATCAATTCGCTAACTACCCACCATGATTATCATGTCCTGTAACACGCGTGTTGTACTTGGGATAAAAATTTAAAAATTCATATTTATGAAAATACGAAATTATTTTAGACACGTATGATTCTTTTTAAAAAATAAACAATATCTACTGCCTTTACTGCAATGGAAAAATTAATGGAAGGGCCTGGCTCATCAGTGGTGAATCCTCCATTAATTTTTTCATTCAAGTAAGGGCAGTAGAAATGTTTATTTTTAAAAAAGAATCTATATAGTTTATAATACAATATAATGCGGCTTATATTTGTAGAACGACATTTGAAAATTATCCCGCATGTATTTCTTTTGAACGAAAATCGAAATTTATTTTGAAGAGAAATAACGATTATTTCTAACCTTAGGGATGAAGTATGAAAGGATGAATTGTGAAGAGTAATGATAAACGAAAAAATAAAGGTGTCCAGGGATGGGAATCGAACCCACAGTGTTCCGCTTACCGGGCAGATGCCATGTCCACTAGGCTACCCTGGACATATTTTTCCGTGGACATGGAATCTGCCCGGTAAGCGGAACACTGTGGGTTCGATTCCCATCCCTGGACACCTTTATATTTTCGTTAATCATTATTCTTCACAATTCTTGTTTCATACTTCATCCCTAAGATTAGAAATAATCGTTATTTCTCTTTAAAATAAATTTCGATTTTTCGTGCAAAAGAATCACATGCGGGATAATCTTTAAATGTCGTTCTACAGTATATAATAGTTTCGTATTTTGATAACAGATGGCGCGCTAATGCATCATAATATAAATATTGCCACGTGGAAAATTAGGGAAGACAAACTTCGGGACGAGACAACAATTTATTTCAGGCAAGAACAAACTAAGAATGATAAACAAAAGATAAGCCACGAGGGAAATTTACAGAGTAGCAAAATATAAACATAAAAATGACCACTCTGTTAATAAAAATAATAAATACTTTGTTACATTATTTATATTAACAATGGGGTTGGTTACCTGAATGACACAGATTTCCTTCGGCCTGACCCGTATCCGTCCAAACTCAGTGGTAATGTCCAGTGTTCCTTTCTCAGGAACTGCCACAACGGTGTTAGGTTGGTACAACTTACAATGATGGCCTCTCACCTATCAGGAAGTCTCCGTCGGAATTGTAGAAACACCTGCAACACATTCCAACAGTGAGACATCTCAACAAGATGGCTGCTATTAAAAGGATGAGCTTCTACAAGCTTGATACCCTGATATGATTGAGTGAAGATAAGAAAGAAGAAGACACATCCCCAGCAGACACCACAACAAGCTCTACAAGCTTGATACCCTGATATGATTGAGTGGAGATAAGAAAGAAGAGGAAGACACATTCCCAGCAGACACCATCAACAAGCTCTACAAGCTTGATACCCTGATATGATTGAGTGGAGATAAGAAAGAAGAAGAAGACACATCCCCAGCAGACACCATCAACAAGCTCTACAAGCTTGATACCCTGATATGATTGAGTGGAGATAAGAAAGAAGACACATCCCCAGCAGACACCATCAACAAGCTCTATAAGCTTGACATCCTGATATGATTGAGTGGAGATAAGAAAGAAGAAGACACATCCCCAGCAGACACCATCAACAAGCTCTACAAGCTTGATACCCTGATATGATTGAGTGGAGATAAGAAAGAAGAAGACACATCCCCAGCAGACACCATAAACAAGCTCTACAAGCTTGATACCCTGATATGATTGAGTGGAGATAAGAAAGAAAAAGAATAAGAAACAAGCTAGATCATAGTTTATTTAGAGGGGGTTTACAAATACAAAGTTTTGTTCTATTTATTAATCAACCAGGCGCATTATTGTAGAGTTTGTTGATGGTGTCTGCTGTGGATGTGTCGTCTTCTTTCTTATCTCCACTCAATCACATTAGGGTATCAAGCTTGTAACGCTTGAGAAATGGGTGAAGTAGAATGCGTCTGCCTTTGTCATTAAGACTGGGAGCACTACTCAGTGGCAGGCTGAATTAGCTCCAATATGAAATGGCCGCCTCTGACATGAGGAACAGACATCATGTGCAGCCGCTTCTAACATGGAGTACAGACTGTATCCCTGGATCAGGAGCCCTAACAGGGTACTATCAGCCGGGCCAGCTGAACCCAGGTTTTTTAGTGAGCTTGTTACTGCTCCCCCTCCTCCTTTTTCATCCGGGTTTGGGACTGGCAAAGGTGGAGTTAGAGGATAAAGTATTTATTTAGAATATAATCCTTTGCTAGCCATTGCAGATAATAAAGTAAAACGTCTAAGGATGATAATCTTTTATAAACGTTTTTCGAGCTTTCGGAAAATACCCTTCTACAAGAAAATTTGATACAAAATGAAACTTAACTATGGCAAGTTATATGTACATTATAAAATTTACATCAGCTGTGTTTTTAACCTATTTGTTCTAGTATGTAAATATTGTAACAAAGTATTTATTATTTTAGCAGAGTATTGCTTTTTATGTTTATATTTTGCTATACTCTGTACACTTCCCTCTTTTGTTTATCATTCATACGCAGTTTGTTCTTGTCTGAAATAAATCGTTGTCTCATCCTGAAGTTGGTCTTCCCTAATTTTCCATGTGCCATTTTGGTGGAGATGCTGGGTAAATTAGGGAAGACAAACTGATGATCGCCGAGAAGACCTTGAAGCCACGGGTGCTGTGATTTACATTTTCAGAGACTGGCTCCAGGATTCCACCGACGTGTCAAAGTCAAGACTTCCTTCCAAGATGACGATGTCCCTATAGACGATACGACGACAAAGCCGCTCTTCACGCCGCAAAAAAAAAAAAAAGGACGCAAAGATACTAGGGACAAAGTTCCAAGACTTCGATGGAATCCTTGGTAAAAGCACGTCAGATCCAAGTCAGTAACTACAATAATTGCTAGCTGTGACCCACAGCTTCCATAGGGAAGGAGCTATGTAACAAAGTATTTATTATTTTAGCAGAGTATTATTTTTTATGTTTATATTTTGCTATACTCTGTACACTTCCCTCTTTTGCTTATCACTCATAGTTTGTTCTTGTCTGAAATAAATTGCTGTCTCATCCCGAAGTTGGTCTTCCCTAATTTTCCACGTAGCAATATAACAATTCTAAAATAGGTTAAAAGCACAGCTTATGTAAATTTTATAATGTACATATAACTTGCCATATCAAAGTTAAGTTTCATTTTGTATCAAATTTCCTGTAGTAGGGCGTTATCCCGAAAGCTATAAAAATGTTCAATTTAAAGATTCTCATCTCTCTCCTTCTCTTTATTATTTAGAGATATTCACATCTATAACAATGTCCATCTCTCTATTCACTAAGTTCATCAACCTTTTCATAGTTTATGAAAAAGACATCTCCTTATCATGCAACTGAAAGTCGCTTATGGCTTGCGCCATCTATCGGAATAAATATCAACTATTCTCGTTGATTTTTAATTATCCCAGAATTGGCCAAATAAATAGTTGATATTTATTCCGATAGATGGCGCAAGCCATCAGAAACTTTCAGTTGCACAATAAGTTGCACAAGACCTTCCTCAGTAAGCTAAAACATAAAAAAGGTAATGGTGCCTTAGTTTTCTGAGGAAAGGCTTGCCCCAAACTACTTTATATAATTAATAAAAAAAAGAGTTGAAGCGTCTTATACTTTTTTTTGTAAATAAAATACAGTCGAATTTAATTATTCGAAGCCTAAGGGACCAAAAAAAGAATCGAATTATTAAAAATTCGAATAAAAAAAACGTAAATTGCATTTATAGGACAATCTAGGGAAAAAGATAAATAGTCGAATTAAAGACTGTTTTGAATTAAGACGTTGGAATTGTGGTGGTTAACAATAATCCACATAAACATTTTTTGCAAAATCAAGTTTTGTTTTTATTTGTTATCACTAAGGTTATACCTTGTTATTTGTTATTATATTCAGACAACAACAACTGAATGAATCCAATTAAATAGAAAAATATATATATATAAATTAGATAATAAAAATTTGCATATTTGCAACAAAAAAATATGAATTTTAAAAAGCAAATAAAATTTACATAAAATAGAAATACAAAACAATAATTTTTACATGTCCCCTACAGAATTATACAAGTACTACTGTAGATTAAGGTACTGTATTCAAGGTTGAAAAACTAACTTGTTTGTCATTCCTGTAGTGAAAGCATAGATGTAGATGGTCGCCCCATGCCGAGATTTGGGATCTCCAGCTCCGCACAGCGGGTGTAGACCCTTCACATCAGAGCGCTCAGCATAAATCAATTCATAGAAGACTTCTCACCTACCTCAATGAAGTCAACTGGCTTAGTGGGAACATCGAATGGTTCCCATTTCATCTGAAACCCAACTTCACTCATAACTTCGTTGTTTGTCAAATATAGCTACATTTGTTTAAAATAAATTTAACGCTAACTTCATATTTGGTGATTTTTATACAATATAATGCGGCCTATGATTGTAGAACGACATTTGAAAATATTTGAAATGAAGGCGATAAAAACGTGGTGATTTTCTTTTAATGATAAAAAAAACAAGCTTTCAGGCAAGAATGCCCTTCTTCAGGTTAGAACTTGGCAATATTTTAAAACTATGGACATTAAAGATAGCCAAATAAAGTAGGTAAATAGTTCAGCTGGGGGGATTGGCGAGGTAAAACACGGAGTATTGGGGTGGGAGGTCGATTTTTTTTTTACCATTAAAAGAAAATCACCACGTTTTTATCGCCTTCATTTCAAATATTATTGTGTGGCTACGTCATGTCTTATCCTAAATTTGAAAATATACCGCATGTGTTTCTTTTGAACGAAAAAAATCACTATATATAATATTTACGAACGGAAAAATATGTCCAAGGTAGCCCAGTGGACATGGCATCTGTCCGGTAAACGGAACACTGTGGGTTCGATTCCTATCCCTGGACACTTTTATTTTTCCGTTTATCATTACTCTTCACAATTCATCCTTTCATACTTCATTCCTAAGGTTGGAAATGATCGTTATTTCTCTTTAAAATAAATTTCTATTTTTCGTTCAAAAGAAACACATGAGGGATAATTTTCAAATGTCGTTTTATAATTATATATTTCTGTAAAAAATAGACACTTCGGGAAGTTAAAGTTTTATTTTCTCAATGTTTCAACCAAAATATTTTGTCTTCGTCAGGAGAAATAAATAAAAAATCGTTTGGCAAGGCGTTAAAAATCGTGTGAGAACGCCTTTGCAACCTCAGAACAATTTTTAACGCCTTGCCAAATGCTGTATTTATTTCTCCTGACGAAGACAAAAGATTTTGGTTGAAACATTGAGAAAATAAAACTCTAACTGGCCGAAGTGTCTATTTTTACAGAAATATGAATGCTGGCCAGACAACCTCTATCTTTATGATAGTTTAATACAGTGTTTATGTTATATACTAGCTGATGTACCCAGCTTCGCCCGGGTTTTACCCGAGTAAAGGTTTGTCTAACGAACATTTGTTAAAACAATTCTCTATAAACTTATATAAAAAAAGATATATTTTGATAATTTGAAACTCGTAAATTTGAA